TTAAAATATAATTTTCACACTATAAAATGAGCATTAAATTTTTATTGAAAGATAGATATTAAAGGTGTTTCATTAGGAAGAGTTGAACTTCAAAGATTTTGCAATAAACAAAAATTTTGCATATTAAAGTATTATTATTATTATCATTTAAAATGTAGATTCTGCAAACTGACAAAGGGGTTAGATGACCAGATTTCAGACTATTTTAAAAATCATTTTTCTCAAAGTTAGTTTGTTTCTTTATTCAAAAATAATCATTAAGGAAATAGATATACTAAACCTGATTCAAACATTACACAAAACATACATGCATTGGTACCCTATAACAGGCACAATATAAAACAAATTAAATTTAAAAATTCTTAAATAACAATACTATAAATGGACATTAAATATAAGACAACTAAAAATAACAAACATGAATCTAATAAAAACTTAAAATCATTTTGCAAAATGCTCTCAGTAAAGTTTTATTTTAGTAATACTACTTCTGCTAGAGATATGATGAAATGTGCACTTTCATACATCACCGATGTATGTGACTATTTCAATTACCTGAAAAGCAATTTAATGATATTTGCATAACTTTAACACTGTTACTTTTGGCTACAGAAATACCAATTCAGGGAATTATAATGCTACACACAGCTGTACATATAAAGATGTTCATTGGAATAAAAAACTGGAAATAAGCCTAAATGTCCAAAAGCAAGAGAAGGGACAAGGAGAATATCTAGTTGATTTGAAATACTATGCAACTATAAACTAATAACTGTGAAACATAATAATCTGGAAAATACTTGTTTTGTTAAACAAAAAAGCAAATGTAAAATACATACTACTAATACAGCTATACAAAAACTAAAAAGAAAATATTGGGAAAAAATATTGAAAATATTAGCAATGATCGCATATGGGTGTAGAGACTATTGGAAATTGTTTATTTCCTTTCTACTTATGTCATTTTTCTTTTTCTCTTTTTTGCTGTTGTTGTTTTTGAGGTGGGGTCCTAGGTTCCTGAGTAGGTAAGTACCATAGGCATATGGTCATTTTTCTATTATTTTTTTTTCAAATTAACAAGCAGGTGATACTTTAATTATATAAGTAATACACAAATATATGCCCATTTTAAAGACTCAACCAATTCAAAAGTGTAGAAATATGTATCCTTTCCCACCAATAGTCATCCTACATTCTTCTTCTTCTATTTCTGATAACTTTATGCTATGTTTTTAGTAGTTTTAAAATATATACACTTTTAAAATAAAATTTGAAAGAAGAAAAAAAATCACCAGCACCAAACTTTTTACTTATTATTATGTGGCCATGAACAAAAAGCTCTGCTTCTTAATTTTATGTTTTAGGTTTTTTCTTTAAATTTCAATATTTAAAACTATTTTATTATTTTGGTTAAACACTTAGCACTTGCAGGCTAAATGTGATTATTTTTAGTGTTATTTTCCTTGAAATTAATGCAAAAGCCAATATTCACCTTGTTTGCTAACTTCAACTAACTTGATTTTGTTGCTGTTATTTAAAGGATAAAATACATAAACTGTGCTAATGCTCCCAAATTAGAGCACTTTAAACACTCTGCCTTTTTCTTGGGAATTAATGATTCCTAGTTGGCAATACTCATGCTTTTAAATCAAGATTACAGAAACCAAGATCCAAGTAGTAATCTAAAATGTAATATACATGTAAAGATCTTTGAGGAAAATGATATACAAATGTACTTCACCTCTTTCATCTAGGCAGATGTACAAATGAAAATTAGAGGAAAATTAATGTACCCAATTCAGAATAATCTCCTAATAAAAGATAACGGGTCAGAGCTGCAGTTGTGGCTCAATGGTACAGTGCTTGCCTAGCAAGTGTGGGGCACTGGGTTTGATCCTCAGCACCACATAAAAATAAATAAATAAAGTAAAGGTATTGTATTCATCTACAACCAAAAAAATGGTTTTTTAAAGCTAATGGTCTACATAGAGAAACATTCTACTGCTTTCAGTTTAGTGTTTCATCAATAAATCAAAGGAAATAATCCCAAACAGAAGGTCTTTATACTCACCATATTTGTTGACTGAGAGAATTCTTACAAAGTGCTATATTTCAATTTTTAAAAGCTTTAAAATTTTTCAAACTTTTTATTTGAAAAACTTAAAACTTACAATATATTTTGCAAAAATATGATGAAGAGTAAACAAACCTTAACACAGATTTACTCTTTGCTATCATTTACCCCCATTTGCTTTATTATTCTCTTTCTCTACACACATACATACCCATGCATATTATGTTTGTTTTTCAATCATTAGATGGTAGGTTATATATATCATGGCCCTTCATTTTTTAAATACTTCTTAAGAATATTTTCTAAGAATATGATGTATTCTTGTAAAACCATATTATTGTTATCAGCTTCAGTAATTTAATATTTAAATAAACTGTTCTCTAATCATCCATTTTTGTCAACTGACCCAACAATGTCCTTTACCATATTTTCCCCATTCAGAAGGACAATTAGGTGTACTGCTTATCTGTCAAGTCTTTTAAATCTCTTTTAATGTATACCTTTTCCACAGCTTTTCTTTGTCTTATATGACAGAGACAATTTTAAAATATATAACCTCCCCTGACTTTGGTAATAGAGATTCAGGATAACCATTCTTGGCCAGAATATAACATTATAATAATGTTGTATCCCCTAAGTACTGTGGATGTCCATCTGCCCTTCATTAATTATGTTAATTTTCATGACCTGTTCAAGGTGTCATCCAATTTCTCCACTTATATATTCTGAATTTTCCCCTTACAATTATGTTGGAGACACTTTTAAACAATACAGGTATCCTGGTTCCTCATTAAAACTCTTGATTTACAATCCTTTGATAACTCTTGTGTGATTTTTTAATTATTTTTTTTAGTTGTAGATGGACAAAATACCTTTATTTCACTTATTTATATGTGGTATTGAGGATCAAACCCAGTGCCTCACATGTTCTAGGCAAGTGCTATACCACTGAGCTACAACCCTAACCCCAGATCTAATCTTACTGTGATGGTTACAGAATGATGATTTGCCAACTCCAACATTCCTATATTTACCAGTTAGCACTTGACATTCTACTCATGAATTCATTTTCCTTCCAATGGTTTATAATTCATTACTATATTTAATTATTTTAGCACTAAAGTCGCCCCAGATTTAGCCTGTGGAAGTTATTTCAAGCTGGCTCCTGCATTCTTTTTTTTTTTTTTCATGATGGACCTTTATTTAATTTATTTATTTGTATGTGATGCTAAGAATTGAACCCAGGGCCTCATATGTGCCAGGCAAGCACTCTACCACTGAGCCACAACCCCAGCCCTAGCTCCTGCATCCTTATGATAGGCTTATCCATTATATTTGGGGGCAATACTTTCTATTTCATGCTTGTCTTAAACTACTACCCTGCTCGCATCCTAGAATAAGTTGTTCTCTCAAGGAGCCCTAGTTCTTCTAGTGAAGGATAGTATTAGAGACAAAAATATGGCCATTAAACATTATTACTGCTACTGGGGTACTTTAGCATTTTGTCCTTTTTAGCAATGCTTTATATGTAGTTTGATAATGTAATTCAGGGCTTTTGTGTAGCATGTGTGAAGTCCCGGGTTCAAAGAAAGAAGGTCAAGAAAAGAAGGAAAGAAATAAAAACAAAGAAAAAAAAAATAAAACAAGAAAAGCAGAAAGGGGACTGGGGATATAGCTCAGTTGGTAGAGTGCTTGCCTCACATGGGTTCAATCCCGGGGTTCAATCCCCAGCACCACACACATACACACACACACACACACAAAAAAAAAAAAGGTAGAAAGAAAGAGAGTAGAAAATAGAAAAGAAGACAAAAATAGAAAAGTAGACAAAAACAGAAAAGTAGACAAAAACAAAAAGGTAAAAAAATTAGTGTGTATATATAAATAAATTTATACACATACGAATATATACAACTATGCATATCTATTATACAACCATGTATATATGTATTTAACATACCAACAAGTATAGCTTAAAAGTCCTAGGTCCACCTCAGTAACCATAATTATAATCTATTTGCACAGGCTTCTCTTCTGTCTTCCCCTGTTTGGTAACTATTTATCCCTATTTCTTCAATAAGAAACCTGGCTCCCAAGAATACTACTGTATATATTTATAATACTACAATACACCTACACTGTTTCAGAACTGCTTTGATTATACTACTAAAACACAAATCTTCTAAAAAGAGTTCAATTAATTCTCCTCTTAACCCTTCATATATCATCTTCCCCAAAAGAGTATATATATATATATATATATATATATGTATATATATATATATATACACTCAAATAATGTTTTTGTAAGTTACTTATATTAGTTCCTTTTCCCTTTAAAATGATTTAATTTTTTGCATACAATTTTTCTGCATATGTAGCTAATGACATTATACCAAAAGTAAAAACTACATAGGTAATTTCCAATATTAATTAGTTATAAATAATAATACCACAATGAATAACTAAGTCTATGTATTTTCATACTACTAATGATTTATCTTTTCAAATAAGCTTCTAGAAATGGGAATGCTGGGTGGAAGAGAAAACACCCATGTAATTTTCTGGGATTTTGTGGGGAGACAAGAGTCTCTCTAGGCTGACTTTAAACTCCTGGGCACAAGTGATGCTCCTGCCTTAGCCTCCCAAGTAGCTGCAACTGCAGACACTTGCCACTTAGCCCAGCTACAGTTTCCTTAGTATTGTCAAATTCCCCTCCTTAGGAGTACTATATTTTGATTCAAACTTATTTGATAATATACTGATGTCTTGCCAGTTCTGGTGCATCTCTGGATTTCAAGTGTTAGCCATATGTCATTTTAAGATGCTGCAAGTCTCCCATTCCTATCAACCCTGAATTTTTATTTTATATTTTCAAAATCTCTGGAGAAAGGAATTACAAAGATAAGTTACTCTAACTACTTACTGATTGGTGTTGTGTCAGGAGGTGGAAAATTCTCAGTAAAGTTGACATTACATAAATCTGTGCTACAGCAGCAAAAACGATATGTTCCATTCTGAATTGAGGGAGGGGTGGTAGTTACTACACATTCTTCGTAGTGACACTCTTGAGGATCTCCAATGTGAGACCAACATCCTATAAACCAGTATTAATAAAAACAAGTTAGGAAACAATTTGACAAAACTAAAAGGAAAACAACAAACTAAGAAATAACGGCAATAAATCTAAGAGTAAATATAGAAGTTATGAGACAGTCTTGCAAATCAATAAAAAGACAAACAGAAAAATGGCAAAGGAAACAATGGACATTTCATGGGGGAAAAACATGAACAAAATGTTTAGTTGCATCATTAATTTAAGAATTATTAAAACCATAGTAAGGTAACCAATTAAATAGTTCTAGACTTAAAAAATAATAATATGCAATCCTAACAAGGATTCAGTAACACAGACACTCTCATACAATGCTAAAAGGAATGCAAATGATGGCATTTTTAGAAAGCAATCTGGCACTTTTTATACAGAGTCTTTAAAATACTCATATATTTATTTAAATATTTATTTTTTAGCTTTAGGTGGACACAATATCTTTATTTTTTATTTTTATGTGGTGCTGAGGATCGAACCTAGTGCCTCACCCATGCCAGGCGAGCGCACTACTACTTGAGCCATATCCCCAGCCTCTGATGTGTTTTATAATCTAACAAATCTACATGAGGGAAACAATCAGATACAAAGATTTATGTTCAAAATTGTTACTGCAACAGTATATATTACAGTGAAAACAATGTCCAACAATAGAATGATATGTAAGTAAATTGTGATACATAAAGAAAATAAAATATTATATAAAGGTTAGACATATTTTCAGGGAATACTTCAAGACATACTTTTAAATTTATTATTTTTATGAAGAAGATCTTAATCTATTTTTATAACATTTTTAGATAAACTTCAATTGTATGAAATTCCATATCAGGTAAGAAAAGCATTACTTGCCTTGTTTTACAAGATTTATGTCCCCTTTTGATTTTTCCCAAAGGCCATAGCAGGTGCTACCTTTTGAGCATAATATTGTCCCATTTTCATGAGAGATTCGACTCTCGCCTATCCCAAGGTCTTGTTGATATGGATCTTTAAATGCACATAGCCGTTCTTGATTTTGGGAAGCTAAAATAAAGACAATAACAATGATGAATTAATTTTATTATAATCTCTATAAAACATTATATAAAAGCCAGGTTATTTCAATAACATAATTTTCCCTACTATAACCTCCCCTGACTTTGGTAATAGAGATTCAGGATATCCATTCTTGGCCAGAATTCAAATTCAAATTCAAATATTTCATTTTTAAATTTTACTTTATTCGATAACTTCCTTCTGCTAATTAATTAATTTGTAACACCCAAGCAAGAAGCAAATGTGGAAAAAAACCCTCATTTCCCAAAAGCAATCTTCTTTTCCTCAGATTATTACACTGCTTTTTCTTCTATTAAATAATTTGGTGTCCAAACAAGGAAATATCATCAAAGAAAATGTACATGCTCTAAAATGATCTTTAAAACAAACAAAAAAACATGGCTGAGACATAGTTTGGCGATAGAACACTTGTTGAGCATGTACAGGCACCAGGTTCAATCTCCAATGCTGAAATACACAAACTTACAGGCCTAAAATTTTTGGAAAATTCTACAATACTCATTTTGATCATGTTTTATAGTGTATTGCAGAAAGTTAAATTATTAGGCATTGTATACTAAGGAATGCAAAGAATGACTATAAAATGGGCATATGGTTTCTTTCTGGAGTGACATGCATTTCAAAATTAGATAATGGTTACACAATCTATAAATTTACTAAATAAATAACACGGAATTGTTCATGTAGATGAGTGAATCTCATGGTATACAAATTAAACCTTATTAAATCTGTTTATAAAACTAAATCTACTAGGTTAGCAAGAAAAAAATTACTTTCCACTATTTAAAATATCAACAGCCAGAACTGCACAACAGTTCTTCATACTGAAGGGACAAACTAATGTAAATTTAATACCAATTCATCTTTATCTGTGCACATAAAATAATTTAACTGATTTCTATTCAATATTTGTCACACAACTTCCTGGCTAACAAATATTTATGAACATTGGTAAGAATCCCAAAGAAGTAAAATGCTATCAAATGCAACATTTGATCTTTATTTAGTTACTTAAAGTAGCCTTTGCCAATGTGTTTGATCAGTCAGAAGACTAATCTAATCCACTTGGCCAATATATTCCTCCTGGGATTCTGACTCATTCTATTCATTTTATGTATCTACCTGATATGGCATAATTCACAAGAATTTTAGCAATGGAAATGATTTATTAAAATTTATTAAAATAAATGCTTCTGAACGAAACTAAAATTCTGGAGAAGAAATGAAAGTGTCTAAGCCAATATATATACATAAAACTGCTATATTTCCTATAATGGAAAGTACTTTTAAAGAATTGGGGTAGGCAAAAGAGTATTCACAAGTAATAGAGTTCTAGCCCTCAAGCATCTTACTTGGATAGACCAAATCACAGACAGTAATCAGTGAAAAATAAAAATGAGACTTGATTTGTATGTTTTAAAATCACTTTAGCATCTCATATAGAGCATTAATCTCCAGGATATATAAAAACATCAAAAAACTTAACACCAAAAAAACAAATAACCCAATCAATAAATGGGTAAAGGATCTGAACAGACACTTCACAGAAGAAGAAATATTATCAGTCAAAAAATATATGAAAAAAATGATCAACATCTCTAGCAATTAGAGAAATATGAATTAAAACTACACTGAGATTTCATCTCACTTCTGTCAGAATGGCAATTATCAAGAGTACAAGAAACAATAAATATTGTTGAAGGTGTGGAGGAAAAGGTACTTTGCTGGTGGGACTGAAAATGGGTACAACCATCTGGTAAACAGTATGGAGATTCCTTGGAAAACTGGGAATGGAACCACCATTTGACACACTTATCCCACTTCTTGGCATATACCCAAAGGGCTTAAAAATCAGCATTCTGTTGTGACGCAGCCACAGCAAGATTTATAGCAGCTCAATTCACAACAGCTAAACTATGGAACCAACCTAGGTGCCCTTCAACATACAAATGGATCAAGAAAATGTGGCACATATGCACAATAGAATATTACTCAGCCATAAAGAAGGATGAAATGATGGTATTTGCCAGTAAATGGACAGAACTGGAGACTACCATGTTAAGTGGTCTATGGCCATACCACCCTGAACGAGCCCAATCTCATCTGATCTCAGAAGCTATCATGTTAAGTGAAATAAGCCAATCCCAAAAAAACCAAAGGCAGAACATTCTCTCTGATATGTGGATGCTAACTGACAATAGACAGGGATGTAGGGATAGGGTTGCTGAGGGCCATTACCAAGTAGGAACGACGCATCGAAATTTCCTTGCCAAGCGTACCCCATGCTGCTTAGAGGACATTTGATGGGACATTGCATGCATGCTTTAATAAGGTGACCTTGCTCAAGGACCAAGGCGGATCCGGGTTTAGAGCTGATCAGGTTTGAGGAAGTAACCGGCTCCTTGAGTTTAAGGCGTTGCCAGTTTAAGATAATGGGTTTTAGGGAAGTTGGAGATTGAAGATTATTGCTGGGATTAGGGTGTTCCTGCTGCTTGTTCCCGTTGAGTTCTCGTGAGATTAAAATGGGATTTGGAGAGAGCCTCGTGGAGTAGGTGGTTTGTGCGGGAGACGGGAGAACGTGTTTGCCCCTGGACCTGTGTGGAGGCGGTGTGAGAGCGGGAATAAAGAATTGCTGTTTGAACCTACAAAGCTGTGAATGCCTCGTGATTCTGGTGCCAAGCCGAGACATTGGCCTTGGCATAGGGTAGGATGGAGTTTCACCTGTATTGGACAGGGAGGAGTGGGGGGATGGAAGGAGGGTTGGGAATGGGAAAGACAGTAGAATTAATTGGAAATAACTCTCTTATGTTTGTATATGTTTACATGACCAGTAAAACATTGTATCATGTACAACCACAAAATGGGAATTTATACTCCATGTATGTATGATATGTCAAAATACATTCTACTATCCTGTATAACTAAAAAGAATAAAAATTTTAAATAAGTAAATAATAAAATAAAATAAAATCACTTTAGGTAGTCCTCTAGAAGTTATTTACTAGTATCAACTAAATAGCCAAAATATATAGTGCTACCTATTTATAAAAACAAATTCTAGGACATTAGTCTAATGATTCTACCACAGTTTTTTATCAAGTTGGTCCATACTCTAATTCTTTTAACAACAAGCTTAATCATATTTACTATATTATCTTTTCCATTTAACAATGAACAGCATTTCCTTAGGTTATCCCCTAATTGTCAAATTTTACCAAATTAATTATTATAAAAATTAAAACTAAATATATGTTTACATATGACACAAAGATTCAGTTATGAAATTCAACTACAAACAAAAAACTTATAAATCTGAAAGGCATCTATCCATGAGGCATAATTCCTTCTCCCTATCCTGCCCAGGTAAAAATCCTTCTATTTCCTACTAGACATCAAAGTTATATAATATACTGTTTCTTCTAGAAAGTTTAGAATAAATTTATGAATTTAATAACTTTAGTTTTCCACAACCAAGATAAACATAATTTTACACCTTCTCCTCTTCTGCTACTTTCTTTGACTAGGATTTTATACTGAATATTGAGTAAGTAAGTAGGGATCGGACTGTACCTGGAAGCAGGTAGATCAAAACATGCCTTATTCAAGAATAAAAAGAAAAGATATATCTTTGTAAAAGAATACATGAAAAATAGACACATATATAATTTTAATGCCATTATTATATAACTTGGTGACAAAAATCTAAAGTTGTTATAGAACTAGACAAAAAAATAAATCTGGCTGGGCCTGGTAGCAGATACTTGCAATCCCAGAGGCTCTGGAGACTTGAGGCAGGAGGATCACAAGTTTAAAGCCAGTCTCAGCAATTTAGCAAGGCCCTAAGCAAATCAGTGAGATCCTGTCTCAAAAAATAAAACGGGTTGGGATGTGGCTCAGTGGTTAAGCGCCTCTGGGTTTAAACCCAAGTACCAAAAAGCAAATAAACAAAAAAACAAAAATAATCCAACCTCTCCTGTCTAACTACTCCCCACCCCTAAATTTAAAAAAGAAAAAAAGCTACATTAATATTAAAGCAATAAAGGTACAACTGGAGAGGACTAAATCATATCTTTAACATCTCTATTTTCCTAAACTATTTTTCTTAAAATAATTTCAGTGCATTTCTAAGAAATTATCTGGTGATGAGGGCATCAGTGTAGGCCAATTATATTTGTTATTTTTAAAATAATACTTTCTGGGCTGGGGTTGTGGCTCAGCAGTAGAGCACTCGTCTAGCATGTGCAAGGCCCTGAGTTCTATCCTAAGCATCACATAAAAATTTAAAAATAAAAGTATTGTGTCCAACTACAACTAAAAAATAAATATTAAAAAATAATACTTTCAAATTATGATTCTTAAACAACATAAAGATTGCAAAAACTTACTAGCCTAATCAAAACCAAGAAAAATTCATTTTGTAAACCAGTGTCTGTGGCTTTCTAAAAGCCATTTATTGGAATCAGTCTCAGACACATACCTATAATAAGGTTTTGAACTCTTCATAAATAATGTAGGAAAAGTAAGGATGAAATTAAGACTACAATTAGAAACAGTATAGTCTAGAAAAATTATATCATCACAGATTACATACAGAGACTGGTTATTTATATGTAGGTAATCTAAATTTGTCAATAACTAGAAAAATTTTGATTAGACATATACTGTCAATTAATTTTAAGGGACATATTTAGCCAATCAGTGTTTAGACATGGGTCTTGAAAAAGAAATTATTGGGTTTTTGTTTTTGTTTTTTGCAGTAGTGGGGATTGAACCCAGGGCCTTGTGCAAGATAGGCAAGGGCTGTATCACTGAGCTACATCCCCAGCCTTTTAAAAATATTCTTGATTGATTGATTGATTGACCAAGTGATTTGAGAGAGAGTCTCACTAACTTTCCCAGGCTGTCTTCAAATTTGTAAGCCTCTCTTAATCTCTATAGTAGCTAGGATTACAAGCATGCACCACCAT